ATGTTCTTGAATTAGTACTCTGAATATGTATTTGACAAGTGTAAACCCTTATTTTGTTTTGAATCAAAACCCTTGTTTCATGTAAAACAGTGTATTCTAGTATACTTGAATTATGAATAATTGTTCTATGCATCATAAATTATACTTATTATAATTTATATGTACTTTATGAATTGGTAAATAACTAATTTTGCATGTACTCCTTTGCTCAACATGTTACAAAGGGTAATTAAACGGACGAAATAACTTTTATTTTTATATACATATATAATTTTATATATAATTAAAATTTAAACGACCTTTGAACAAATAATTGGTACTATAAGTCCACATCTAAACAACGAAAAAGACCTAGAATGAGTTATTAGTCCTAAGCCTTTTAAATCTTATTAGTATATATATATACAAACGTAAATATTTAGGAAAAATATAAGTTTATCAAAGAGTTTAATATTTGGAGTATTTCTGATGCTTTAAAATAGTTTTATTGTGATTTGGGAAAAATATAAGTTTATAAAAGACTTCAATATGTAATGTTCATACGAAAATTCCTGGTTTTTTCTATTTTTCTTTATTTTTGTGCCAAAAACTTGTAAAATTCATAACTTTTGCATACAAACTCCGTTTTCGATGTTATTTACATGCACGCGTATGTAAAATTATGCTCTACGACTTTCGTTTAGACTTCGTTGGCCAATTTTGAATTTACTTTTAATATTATTATTTTTAACAGACCTGGACAGGAAAATCCGTTAAAAATTCATAACTTCTTCATCTGACATTCGTTTTTGTCTGTCTTTTGACTGTTGTACTACTAATGACGAGACCTTAAATTCTCGTTTAGGTTGTGTTGGCTAAAAACCCCCTAATCTTTATTTCGAGTTTGTAGTTGTACACTGCTATACTGAAACCTAGAAAAATCATAACTTTCTCATACGAAGTCAGATTTTGGCATTCTATTTATGAAAGTTCTCGGTTTAACATAAACTACAACTTTCAGTTAGATTGTTAGGGCTAAAAATCCTTTTATTAAAAAAAAAATACACTGAATAGTGTTTTGTCGGTTTTGTCGCGGATTTTCGATTGGCCATAACTTCTTCGTTATAACTCGGATTTTAGTGTTCTTTATATTTTTGGAAACCTTCTTACAAGCTCTATCACTTTGTTCATCCCAATTAAGATTATTTAATAATTTATTTTTGAGGGTCGATTACGTAAATATACACAGTATGCCAAAATTTCACTTTATTAATTTAAAAAGAAGTACAAATTGACCTACACAATTACATAGGTTTGAATTAACGGTTTGTTACAATGGAAGCAATGATCTCATACCTTTGCTACCGTGCACTATGATGGTACATTTCCATCAAATCATGGTGCATTTCGAAGGGTCGAAAGTCCTCATAGGACTTTTATAGCCCAACGGTCATGGTAGCAAACATAATGCACAACACCTTTATCGCGTCCCTCTTACGAACCTTGTATTCCTCGACTTGTTTGGGACTACCGGTTTGTTCATCAATCTCTTTCAGCTCATTATCGAGGACACATTCTTTGTCAATGTAGCGAAGTACCATACAAAAGTTTCTCATCCAATCATTAAAGTTTCACCCATTGAAGATTGTTCTCCCAACCAAATTCATGAGGGAGAACAAGATAGACAGGTTGGAGCCTGAAGCAGTATTTAGGATAGACATCTAAAAAGAAAGGATAACAAAGTTTATCTTAGATAAGAATTCTTAACATAACAACCAAATGAAACATTAAGGCTAGGACCCAACACAACATTTTACAATTCAAAAGAGGGGTGTCCTAAAAGGTAGGTAAATGACGATTTACCAATTTCCACCATGAAAATGGAAATTGATTATTAAGTTTTAATTGTATTGAAATTCCAAGATTCTTCTGAGATTCATTCAACTTTTTAACTGCATGTTTAAATATCGATTGTGCCCTTCAAGTTTGTAACTGGGATGCCGATGATCACAAACAAGGTGTAAATAACCTTTGCAAACGTGCTTGGTAGTCTTAATATTGCAAATCACCTAATCATGGTGTCGGTTAACCACACATTCCATTGACCTATGATTAACACCAAGCTACCCATTGCCACCCTTACCAGTACCAGATTAGTGTGTCGGCTAACCACACATGATCCATCAACGACTTTGCGAGGTGCAAAGTGCCATTTCATGGAATAGCACCATTTTCACATGTTTCCTAAAGTAACTGAGATTGGGAATTTAATAAAAGTTTAGTTACTTTATAATTATCAATATATTTTTAATGAGAATTAATTTCCTATCCTACCCGTTCCGCAAACGACCCGCCACCAGTTAAGGAATCGGTAGGTGAGAGTGGACACCCATTAAACCACCATCTTATCGGTAGTAACCTTATACCCCCCCTGTAGACTGCCTTCATGAATGAGGCTTACTAACGGTAAACTGACTTGTCTGATATATATATATATATATATATATATATATATATATATATATATATATTATTAAACATATAATATTATGATAGTGTAAGGGTTGATTTTTAAAATTTTAAAGTTCTAAGGTTTGGAATTAAATGTTTCATTAGTGAGACTTTAAGAATTCCAAAACTTAAGGGCAAGTTTTGTAACTCTTTGAAAGTTTTTGTTTCCGTAACTTATGAAAACTTGTGAGTTTTAATGTTCATGAATGAGACTCTTCATATAACTTGAGGACAAGTTACAAAACTCATTTCAAGAACAATTATAGATCAATTTTAACTTATCAATATTATCATATAATATACAATTAATCTAATCTAACTCATCTAGCAAAGCAATTCTTATAAAATAACACAAATAATAAATTTATTATCTTAAAATTTGTCAATTGTCTTTTAATTGTATGTGGGTAATTATTAACAAATAAGAAAATACATTTTTTATGATTACAAAACAGTTTGTGGTAATGTACCTAGTCCAATTCTGGCCAAAAACTCTAAATTCTAAAACCTGAATCCCCTACTCAAGGAGTACATGAACTAGACTCATCGAGTTGACCTTTTAGTGAGTGGACTAATTGATTTAATCAGTGGACTCGGCGAGCTCATTAGTTAGTGGCCAAAAAATCGAATTTTTCAGCTTTGAAAAATTACCGAGCATCAAAAATAACAAAAAACAATCCTAGACTCTGATACCACTGTTGGGTTTTAAGCACTATAACACTCCTATGGTGCACATACAACCTTAGATGCTTTGGATCTATGTTTTCTCTAATTATATATGCATTTTCGTTTTTCCAAAGAATACATCCTAACCAGCATATATGGAGAATATCCAACATAAAACTCATAGTTTGATGAATACCTCTTATATAGTTTGAAGTTCTTGGCCTTGAAAGCTTTAGCACCTCAAGTGTGATGACTCTAATGTGTCAAAAACACCAAATTCTAGAGGAGACTTGACAGAATAAGCTGGTTAGCACAAAATCAATTATCACTCTCTTAGAATCAATGGGGAAACCAATTATGGCTCTAGGGGGTTCCTTTTATAGTGTTATATAGGCTAGGGTTACATCCATGCAAACCCTAATGCACTATGACCTTTCATATTACTTAGGCTCCATAGGTTAAACCTACATGGACTATCCATGGACTATCATATTGGTTTAGCCCATCCTAATTAACCATGGATCATTGTCTCACACTATAAAAATCATTGATTTACTTAATCAGTCCATGTATGTTCATTTAGTCTATTTTGATCACAAAATTAATTCCAAATTAATTCTTATGAATATTAATTAAATGATATGATTTCTCAATTGATATATTATACTCATGATATATTAATAACTCTCAAATAGCCTTATTCTCAAAAGTCCATCCTATCGAATTGCATTGGTGAAGGCAACCCAAAAGGAGCATACTACTACCGGGTCAAGTACATCCTAGTTATAGTTATGGGCTTAGACACCTAATCTAATACTTATTTCCAACAAAAACAATCCCTAAGGGTTTCTGAAAAATCTCCCCATCTTCATAATCTTTCAACATAACTTGATTCTTTATCAATGATTTGGGAACATAAACTTGCTTTCCCAATGTTGTAGCAAACTCAATATCTGTCAAAGCCAAAACCACATAATATCCATTAATAAATACTCTTAAATGTGCGAAATCAATCATAAAATCATCTTTGTTGATTATTTGCAATTTTGACACATCAGTTGACTTCATAATCTTTGCAACAATCAACAAGTTATACAGGTTCATCACCGGAAAGTCAGCAATTGGGAAGTCAAAAGTGACATTATTTTCTCAAACTGCGTAGAATTGATAATTCTCCAACTTGCCCTCAAACAAAATGTATTTGGTTATGTTGAGAACTTAAATTATTTTAACTAGTGACCAAATATATTCTTCATTCTTCATTAGAACCGCATGAAAACATAATTTCAAGAGTTTGAACTCTATTTTATCCATATACCGATTGGCAAGGTGAAATTGTTCATCAAGAAACATCAAATGGTTTATTGGAAGTCTAACTGATTGAACTTTGTGTTGTCAATGTCATAGCTTTTCTTGGGAGTTTTACTGAATGAATGCATCTCACCAGAACCAACAGTGGCTTCGATATATCAAAATTGAAATATTTTGCAGGATCACCTTTGTTTAGACCTAGTGGATCATTGGATCTTTGTCGAAGTATACTTTGTATCTTCCTTTGTTATTCCAATTCTTGTTCCACAGCAGCTTTCTTCTCTTTAGTTGTGGGCTCATGAAGTGTAGCCTTTCCTTTGTTATACATCTATCCTATGGTAGTTCGAGGTTTCGAAGAACTTGATCCTCCACTAGGAGAACAAATAACGACTCTTTTTAATATATGCTTTGTTGTTGTTGTTGTTGTGGACGTCGAGATTGCAGTTACATTTATAAGAGAAATAGGAAGTTGAGTAGAAGATACCTTTCCAACAACCTTTTCATCATCATCATTCTTGTTTGTTGCACATCCACTAGTTCTGAATCTTAACCCACTGCCAACGCTTCTTTTTTCTCCCCATTGCACCCCTGTCTGTTGGCATCATATTGATCAACTTCGAAATTGGAGATAATTCCTTCTGAATAGTCGACTCCAGTAATGAAAAATTCTCAAAAAGAAGTTCAAGAATAATCAACGAAGATGAAACAAAACTTGACTTTAGCTCCAATCCTTTCAATTCGACCAATAACTTTTTAATATTCTCAAATTTTTGAAGATCATCTTCATCCATCTTTTCGACTTTTGGATTAAGAGACTTATACAGTTTAACAAATTTTGTTACTACATACCCAATTTTCTCAACCTTCTATTGAATAGATGAATAATCATGTTGTAAAACTATAACTTCTTTTCCCGTATCCTCCTGATGTTCTTGAATTTTCAGATTCACGTCTTCTCGAACGTTCTTCACATCATGAATGAATAGAATAATACTCTCATTTGTAACATCCTTTAAATTCCTCAACTCAGAACTAAACAAATCCGACCGTGGCTTCACCCTCTTCTCATTATTACGATCAACATTATCAATTGTATCTTGACATCTATGCTCTTGACGCTTTAACAACATATCAACTTCTATGCTCGACACATAATGCTTTCTCCATGTATCAACTTGAGGTGGTAACAAAGAATTAAGTTTTATCTTCAAAATTTTGAACTCCTTCCCTGTTAGAAACATATTATTTTGAATGTTCTCTTCCTCAGTATTAAACTCAATATCGACAAAGGTACCATCAAATTCATCATCATCACCATTTTGATCATCATCTTCTTGAATTAATGGAGGATCAGTGGATTAGGATGAAAATAGGAATGTAATGGGTTGATTCCTGACATTATCGAAAGTAGATACATGAGTTGATGAAGGTGATTTTTTTTGATGTAGGAATAGTGAATGGAGGTAACTAAACTGAGGTATCAATAACAGATGTTTAGAATATAGAGGATATAATAAGAGAAGGATTACCTTGGCCAGATGTATTTGAAACTCCTTCACCCATATTGACATTTGCGTCCATATTAGACATATGCACTATAATGTATGAAGTACGAACCTACTCATAAAATGCTTTTGCATTCGTTAATTTGGGTGGTTTGATAGTAGTCTGCTCAAGAGTCGATGATGTTGATTACTTACCTGGTTTAATGGGTGTGTCTACTTTAGAAGTTTCCACAGATGCATCAACATTCCCAGTTGCCTCAATATTCGACTTAAGTGGAGAATCCCTCATAGGTGAAGAAAGGCCCATTGGTCACCTTTAAGTGGAGACTTGGGAACAACTTCTTCATCCTTGGAATCATCATGAATAACCAACTTCCTGAGCTTCTTCTTCTTCTTCTTGTTCTTCTTCTACTTTTTAGAAAGATTTTTTTCCATGTCGTTTTCTCTCCGTTTCTTCGATGCTGGAGAAACATGTATTTGACCTTCTCGAAATAACACCCCCTTGTGATTAACTTGTGGCTTGACTGTAAGCTTGGTTAAAAACTTCTTGATCGTTCAGGAGAAGAATGAGGTTTGTGAGCTATCTTCTTTAACTTCTTCAGCACACCAAACTTTGAAGGTAATACTTCTGTATCAGGCTTTGAAGTTGATTTAGGAGCAACTATCGGCGGTGGCTCACATTGCACTTTCTTCTTTGATATATGCTTAAAAACTTTTTCGACTTTCTCAGGTTGTGGTTTTGTTTGACTTGCAGTTGAGTTTGAATCCATATGATTTGAGAAGTACAAGCTGCAGCAGTGACATATTCTACTTCTGCCGTGGAAATCAAAACACATGTTTGTTTCATTGATTGCCAGTTCAGAAGCTTCCCATCAAATAATTGACATCTGCCACTTGTGCTTTTGCGACAAAGATTACAACCTCCCAAATCAACATTTCAGAATGCGTGTACAAATAATCATGTCTTCGAAGGATACAGCAGTCCTAACGAAGTTGTTCCCTTGAGATAGCAAAATATATGTGCTTGGTACCTAGCACAATTACACATAGAAAACATGATACCAGACCTACTTGCTATGAGATAAAATAGTGAAACTATCATGCTCCTATACATTGTGAGATTAACAACTGGTTTATCTAACGAAGGATTGAGTCGTGTTCCAACTTCCATCAGTACTCTTAACTTTTTGCTATTCGTCATTCCAAACTTTTCATGCAGGTTTCTTGTATACTTCTCTTGATTGATAAATATACCTTCTCTGCTTTGAAGAATATTTAATCCTAGAGGGTTGTTTATCTTCCCCATCATGCTCATCTCATATTGTATTTTAATCAAATTTTCGAATTCTCTTGACAAAGCAGGGCCACTATAGAAATAAATAATAACATCAACACAAATTTGAACAAGCATCAGATGATTCCCAACTTTCTTTCGAAAGAGAATGGGATCAACTAATGATTTTCAGTTGCTTTAAAAAATTTGTAACAGTTCCATAGCAGGCTCTTGGTGCTTGTTTTAACCCATAAACAACTTTATCTAAAATATAATAATGATCAGGAAATGCTTTGTTTACAAAACTTGGGCGTTGTTTAACGTACACCGTCTCTTCAAGTTCACCATTGAGAAACACACACTTAACATCCATCTGGTAGATATCAAAATCCCTGTGTGCTGCAAAGGCTAAATATATTTGAACAGCCCGAGTCTTGCGACATGGGCGAAGGTTTCCTCATAGTCTATACATTGTTATTGTGATTAACCTTTAAATACAAGCATATCCTTATTTCTCATGATATTACCTTCTATATCCGTTTTATTTTTGAAAATCCATTTAAAACCATTTATCGAAGTGTCTTGTGGTTTGACAACAAGTCTCCACACATTTATTCGTTCGAACTCAGCCAGTTCAGATTGTATAGCAACAATCCAATCAGGATCATCCATAGCAATCTTAACAGACATGGGTTTAATTTTCCATAGAAAAAAATTGAACATACAAATTTCTTGGTGAGTATTTAGTACCACACTTCTCGCATGAATTTGAGCCCTCTTTAATACTACAACTTGTGGATTACCAAGAATTTGTTCATGTGGACGATCTCGAGTCCATTTATTCATTAGAGGATATGCAGGATCGAAGTCCAAAATTTCATCTTTGAATTGTTCTTCAAGTTCCATGTAATCTCCTGCATTCGAGACATTTTCAACGAAATCATGAAAACATCATTTGTAGAAATTCGTAATGACTTATTTTCTTCCACCTAACCAAAATGATCATGTGTATGATGCTCCCCCTCAACATCTGCAATTTTTGATGTTTGCATATTTTCGAAAGTTTTCTCCCCCTTAACATCATCTATCGAACTCAAGTTCTCCGCCTCCACTCAAGCATTGGTTTGAATTGGTACACTTTCGACATGGAAAAGAGAATTTGTAGTAGAAGTTATATCAACAATTAGTTGTATCACTATCGAAACTTCAATGCGTTTTGGTGTTTCAGAAATGCGATTATCATCAGCAGTAACTTATGCATCAATAGCCCTATCATTAGTACCAAAAATTAAATCGTAACCAAAATCTAACGAATTAATACTTTCAGATTGATCATTTGATTCATTAATGATTGGTTTCTATTCAAAATATTTTACGACTCTTTTGACATAGTGATAATCGAATGTAGGATTAAAGGTCTCTTTAATCTTCCTTGTTCATTTGTAAAGCACCCTATATGCCACATAATTATGAGAATAGCCTAAGAATAATCCTTCATCAGCCTTAGACTGAAATTTCGAAGGATTATCCTTAAGATTCAAAATGAAGCACCTACAACCAAAAACATGGAAAAATTTAACGATAGGTTTCCTGTTGTTAATGATTTCATATGCAGTGATATCAAATCGTCGATGAGTGAATGACCGATTTAGACTAAAACAAGCGGTTGAAACAACTTCAGCCCAAAGATAGTGTGAAAGATTCGCACAAGTCAACATCTTTCATGCCGCCTCACAAAGTGAACAATTTCTCCATTCGACATCACCATTCCATTCAGGTGTATAAGAATATAAGAACTTATGTGATATTCCTTTGTGATCCAAAAATGAACGAAGAATCTTTTTCTTGAATTTTGATAAATTATCACTCTCGATCTTGCAAACCTTTTTCTTTAGACTTAGGTCGATGTGTTTGATGAAATCAATCAACACTTGAGCTGTTTCTGATTTCAATCGAAAAAAATATACCAAAGTAAACCTTGAAAAATCATCAAAAATAACCAAAATGTACCTCTTTTTTTAGTGTTTCAATTGTCGAATGTCTAGAAAGGTCAACATGAAGATGTTTTGAAGGTTCGATCATCTTCGAATCAATCACAATTGGATGACCTTGTCAATGCTTTTTTTTCTTGTTCGTAAGCTACACATAAAGTATCATTGTCAAATTTCATTACTGGCAATCCTCGAACAAGATCTTTTACCACTAATTTGTTCAAATTCTTAAAATGCAAATGAGACAAGCTTCGATGCCACAACCTGCTAATTTCAGAAAAAGCCTTCGAAAGTAGACAAAGAGAAGGAACACCAACAATAGGTTTTATGTCAAGTGTAAACATATCGCCTTTTCTTTTTGATTTAAGTAGAGCTTCTTTTGTTTCTTTGTTCGATATGACACTTCCTTCTTCGTCAAATACAACTTGATTGCTAGTGCACACAACAAGTTGCGAAACACTAATCAATTTGTGTTGAAAACCTTCGACATAAGCAACTTTGTTGACTGCAGACTTCCCATTTGTCACCTTCCTATAGCCTTTGGCTTTACACTTGTTATTGTTACCAAACATTACTACACAGACATTTTGAAGACTTCGATAATCTCTCAGATTTTTCTTTTCCTATTCATGTGACGAGAGCAACCGCTACCAATATACCATTTATCATCATATTGCTTGTCACACATACCCTACAATCAGTGGAAAATTTTAGCTCCCCAAGGCTGTTTGTGTCCTTGGTTATTAGAACAAAATGCTTAATGTAATGCATATTCTATTATCCAATTTTGAATTTTTTTTACTTAACACTATCAATTAAGTCCACTTCATTATTTAAGGGTATCGAAATGTAATCATTTGAAGGTGTAAAGTTAACATTAACTTTATCCTCACACTTCTTAATTTGAGTCCTAGTAACATTGTATCTCGAAAATACTCTCCATTTTTTAACAGAAGGAGTCGGATCTTTTGATGAAGAAATTCCATTGGATGATTTGTTTAGATATTTCTCATATTCATCCTTAATCTATTCTTGAGAGAATTTTCCTGATTGGAAACATTTTCCCTTTCCTTCCAACCAGTGATTGATATTCTTGACATCCGTTTTACCCTTAGCAAATGAAGCTTTAACTGTTTGTTTCGAGAGTAGATTTGGAAACTTTGGTTGTTCGGCCTTAAAAGATTCATTTATTCTCTTTTGGACATTCAACAACTAATAGTTACTTGTGGCATTTTTGTTGAAATAGTGGGTTAGTAACGATTTTGAAATCAATTTTGATACCCAATTTTATGTTTTGGAAAAACTTTTTGTGGGTTCAAAATTTGATTTTCATGTGGAACTCAATGATACTTCTTTTACTCATTTGATTGAAAACCATTTCTTTGAGAATTATTTTGTGAAAACCCTTGATTTTTGTGAGTTTTGAACAAAATTCATTGGTTGATTATTTTTCACATAACCATAATGATATGAGTTTTGAACATTAGATGTTTGTTTTGATATCAAAACGTGTCTTTGCTTTTGGAAAAATCTTTTTAAACTTGTGTATGTTTTGACATTGGCTTAACATATTCATACTTTTTGTTCTCATTCATTTTTTATGAAAGACTTTGTTGTTTCTTTTTAGACACAAAATTTTTGCAATAAGCCTTATTGCGAGATTTATTCATTAATATTCCATTTTTCTTGTGAAATCTTTTCAACAGTTTCTTCGAAAATTTGAATTTTTTCAATTGGTTGTTTAGAAACTTTTTCTATTGTTTGTTCTTCGACTTTTGATTTTCCAGTTTTAACAATCCAGGTTTGATGTGGCTTTTGTTGTTGAAAAGTGTATGAATTTTTTGTTAGATTCTTCTCCACTGTGCTCTAATTTAAGAAAAATCCTTCATTCGAGGCTTTCTTATTGTCCTCTTCAATAATTTTGTTTATTTCAGGTTTAACACTTTAACCATTTCCTTTCTTCACAAAAACTTGATTCGGAAAAATGACATCCTTAGTGCATGTGAAGGTTCGGTAAACCACACAATTTGGTTCTAGCTAGTG